ATTTGTTTGTTAAATACGTAATGAAACATATTTACCGTGTTTGATGTTTGTTGTAAATGACGTATACTCACAAAGAGCTAAGTAAGATTGTCGTTTATTGAATGTTCAGAAACTACAGCGGCTGTAAAGCGCCACAGCAAAGGTAAAATAACCCCAACAAGTGATCAACTCAAAACCACTCGCACCTTTTTACTTTCTCTCTGTCGTTTAAGCACACCCGTTGCCGTGGCAACCGTCTGCGCTGCACAAAAAGAGCACAGATTACGTTAAAAACATAACATTGAGTCCGTTACAATATTAGGTTTTCAGGCTTGATATTTATTTTGCAATCATTAATAAGTGCTCCCTGAACACAGTGGTGGTTGACTAGTTAATTTTAAACTCCTTCTCTGCTAGTTATTTAGGTAATGGAACCAAAACGCACAAAATTGTGCAACACCTTGTTGAAACAATAATTACAGAGATTATTATTTTTGTTGGGTCATTAATTGGAACGCGTGATTGTTTTCTGTGGTTCTTTAATAAAGTTATGAACGTTTTGATAAGGAGTTAGAGGAGGACGTGCTGGTCTCAGCGTCCTGGCGGCGTTCAGTTTGTCTCCTAATGTCGAGATCGACTCGAAACTATCCACGATCGACATATTGCACCGCTGCTCTAGCAAAGCACGAACAGTTAAGAAACAATATGAGATGGGGAAAAAAAGCTATTCATTAACTGATTAAGTCGTGTTTTAGATTGTTCTTGAAAAACAAATCAGTCACGGCTGATTAGTGGATGCACTCATGGCTGGACAGTGAACCCGTTGTTTTGTTTTTACAGCAGACAGCCGCTCCCCTCTCTTGCAGGCAGGGGCGTGGTAAAGGGGGGAAAAGTGATGACAATTCTAGGGGCCCTGACCAACAGGTAGCCCTCCATAATTTAATTATTTATTTTTTTTTCATAGAAAATAAAAAAAAAAAATCGGGGCCCTGTCACAATTACAAAATTAATCATATTGCATTTTCAAAGATTGTTTTTAGCAGTAAAAATTTAATGTTCCCACTCCCATATCATAAAACACACATCCATATTTGCCCTGAACCTCCCTGCGTTACATGGTTCGTTCCTGCTTGGAGCGCTTCAGAGTGACGCTGTTCAACAGCAGTCAGTGGAAGATATGAACGATTGTGGCAGTTACTATGCTGCTAAGAAAAGTTATAAAACCGGGTTTTCAAAAACAAAATAGAGAGAGAGAAAGAAAAAGGCAAGAGTGTTAATTTATAACCCAGTTTTTCTTCAAGAGAGGTGGGTAGACTGTGTGAGATTATCAACCATTTAGCATAATTAGCTTAGCTACAGACTACTATTTGCCTCCATTTCACTAGCATTTAATGAATTAAGGAAAAAAATACCAACATATTCATATATTTAACTTGTCCCTGGTACCTTTTACCACTTAACAATAGGTGAGTCAGTCAACAGCAGTTATAACCCACGTCCCTCCTGACCCGTCCTCTCCTGAGTGAAATTAAAGCTGCAGTATGTCATTTTTATATATTTTTTTCACATATTTTTTAAAACTGTCATTATGTTGTGATAGTACGGTATGAGAGGTAATCTGTGAAAAATCTATTTCCTCTGCCTTCTTCCAGTGCTAGAAACAACCAGTCAATGGCAGGAGAGTTTTAGTGCTGTCAATGACAATCTCATGTGGTGCTGCTCATCCTTCCTCCTCCTCGATTTGTGCTGTACTGCAGCTAGCATAGCACAGAGTTGTGCAGATTCAAAGTGTGAATGCTCAGTTTAGTTAGCTTAGCTACCAATGATGGCAGATAAACGGTTTCTTGTAATGATAAGTTGTTTCTCCACCATTACCGCATTTAGCAGTGAGTGAATGAGGCTAACTGACAACGCTAAGAGCGTCCTACTAGTTCTGATTGGTTGTTTTGGTCAGAACGGTGCATTGATTGATTGTTTTCACAGATTATCTGTCTCATAAACTGCTACGACATAGTGACAGTTTTAACAAATATGGAGAAAACATATTTTTTATTAAAGTTATGTACTGCAGCTTGACCGTACCCGCCTACTTTCACCCCTGATGATAACCATCTGTAGTTCAGATGGTTGTCATGGTAACATCAACGTTTTTAAATACTCAGACATCTCCCCTAGAACATATTTACCTTTTCAGTGGAATCTGACTGGCAGCTGGGTGCAGAATCTTTGGGTCTTGACCCGACATCGGACAGGAAACTGGCCCAAAGATCATCTGACTTCTTCTTCCGTTTCTCCTCATCATCACTGTCTTCCTTCGGCAGCTGAGCCTCTACCTGCTTTAGCTCTTCTTTCCTCTTCCTGTTTCAAACGATTCATAAAATCCATCATTATCATCATGTTTATTTTACTGTGAAACAAACTCTCATTTTTAGTTAAATATAAAGAACACTCACTAAAAAAATAGATACTTTTTTTTATTGTACTGTGCCACTGCTCCAAACTGGAGCAGTGGCACAGT